TGGGGCGGGGGGGCTGCAAGCCTCCCCGCGCTTCTCGGCAAACGCCGGGGGCTAGCCTGCCGACCCAGGCTACCCCCGACGTCAATATTGCGTCGACGCCGACGCCCATGGAGGAGGTTGTAGAGACGATCCAGTAATGGATCAAGTCTCCAACCTCCTGGTCCAGACGAATCTGAACCACTGTGCTGCGGCGCAGGATCTCTTCCTGCAAACCATGGCACAGTGGTCGATAGGTGTTGCCGTAGTCGCGGAGCCCTATTTTGTCCCTCCCCGTCCAAACTGGATGGGTGACCGGGACGGCTCCGTGGCAGTCGTCGGCTCCACGGCGGCTCATTCCCCGCCCTTGTCGCTAAGAGACAAGGGTACTGGATATGTTGCCGCCGATTGGGGGGGAATCACCATTTATGGTGTATATTTCTCCCCCAACCGGAGCTTGAACGACTTCGAGGTCTTCCTTAACAACTTGGAGGCCTCGATGCGGCGACTAGTGTCTGGGCACGTCCTCGTGCTGGGGGACTTCAACGCAAAGTCCATTGCGTGGGGTTCCCCTGCGACGGACGCCAGGGGCGAAGCCGTCGAGGAGTGGGCGGCGTCGGTGGGCCTCTGTTTGCTGAACAGGGGCTCCACCAACACGTGCGTGCGACAGCAGGGGGGGTCGATAGTGGACCTTTCGTTCGCTACCCCTGCAGTCGCCGCACGAGTAAGGAACTGGTGTGTCCTGGAAGAGGTCGAGACGCTCTCGGATCATTTGTACATCCGATTCGAGCTCTCCCGGTCCCAGGACCCCAGTAGGGGTCACGCGGCGCGGCGCCCTTCCCGCTTCCCGCGGTGGGCTATCGCCAAGCTCGACAGGGACCTACTAGAGGAGGCGGCCATTGTTTACTCTTGGCTGTCTCCGCAGGCCCCGACCGAGGAGGTCGACATGGGGGCTGGTCGCTTCTGCAATGCGATTACGCAGATTTGCGATGCGGCCATGCCCCGCGTTCGTGGTTGTCGGCCTCCAAGGAAGGAGGTCTACTGGTGGTCCCAGGAGTTGGCGGACCTCCGTGCGGCCTGTGTACGTGCCCGGAGGTCCCTCACCCGTAGTCGGCGACGTCACCGCGGGGTCGGTGAGGAGGTGGACCGGCTTCATGAGGAGTACCGAGAAGCTCGGAAAACTCTGAGGCTGGCCATCTGCCGCGCCAAGGATGCGTGTAGAGAGGAGATGCTGGAGAGTCTCGAGCGTGACCCCTGGGGTCGCCCTTATCGTGCGGTGCGTCAAAAGCTCCGCACGTCGGGCCCCCCCCTTACGGAGACTCTCCAGCCCAGCTTCCTGCAGGAAGTGGTCGAGGGCCTATTCCCGCAGAGGGCGGAGCACACACCCCCGTCGATGGCTGCATCAGCCGGAGACGACGGGGGCAGCGAGGCTGATGTTCCGCCCGTCAGGGAATCGGAGTTGGGGGCGGCTGTTCTACGGATTCGATCCAAGAACACCGCTCCCGGGCCGGACGGGGTTCCAGCCCGAGTGATGGCCCGAGCCCTCGACTACATGTCGGACCACCTCAGGGGGGTGTTGGACGCTAGCCTGGCGTCCGGACGCTTCCCTGAGCGCTGGAAATGCGGGAAGCTGGTCCTGCTACAGAAGCCGGGACGGCCTGCCGAATCGGTCGCGGCCTATAGGCCTATCGTGTTGCTGGACGAGGCGGGCAAACTTTTTGAGAGGGTGCTCTCTGCCCGCATCGTCCGGCACCTTTGCGAGGTCGGCCCCGATCTGTCGGATGCCCAATTCGGTTTCCGAGAGGGGCGTTCGACGATCGATGCCGTGATGCGCCTTAGGGCCGTGACCGAGGAGGCCGTGAGCTGCGGCGGAGTGGTGTTGGCGGTGTCTTTGGACATCGCCAACGCCTTCAATAGTCTGCCATTCAGCTGCATCAGGGAAGCGCTCCGCTATCACGGAGTGCCGGAGTACCTGAGGCGGCTGGTGGCAGACTATCTTGAGGAGCGAACCGTCATGTACGAGGACCGAGATGGCGTCTTGAGACGCAGGGCCATGTCGTGCGGTGTTCCGCAGGGGTCTGTCCTAGGACCGCTCCTGTGGAACATCGGGTACGACTGGGCCCTACGAGGGCGTCTCCCCCCCGGGCTGGGTGTAATCTGCTACGCGGATGACACCTTGCTCACGGCCCGGGGGGCTAACTTCCAGGAGGCGGCGCGCCTGGCCGCCACGGGAGTTTCCCTGGTGGTCGGGCGCATTGAGGCGTTGGGTTTGCGGGTGGCCCTGGATAAGACGGAGGCCCTATTATTTCATGGGCCCCGTCGTGGTCCGCCCGCCGGCGCCTCAATCGAGGTCGGCTCGGTCCTCGTACCGGTCCGGGCCCAGATGAGGTACCTGGGTCTGGTCCTAGACGGTAGGTGGCTCTTCGACGAGCACTTCCGACAGCTTGGTCCGAAGCTGGTGGACACTGCCTCCGCCCTAGGGCGACTTTTGCCCAATTTGGGCTGGGGCCAGTGTTCCCACGAGGCGGCTGTACGCGGGGGTTGTCCGGTCCATGGCGCTTTATGGTGCACCGGTGTGGGTGGCGGCTCTGACCGCCCCGAATAGGGCGCGCCTCTGGCGCCCCCAGAGGATATTGGCGGTCAGAGCCATACGCGGATACCGCACGGTGTCCACCGAGGCGGCTTGCGCCTTGGCCGGAACACCCCCGTGGGATTTGGAGGCGGAAGTGCTCGCCGAAGTTTATCGGCGAGTGGCTGACTTCCGGGCGGAGAGCGGATTTCGCCCTCCGCCCGAAGACGTGCGCGAGTGGCGCGAAGCCGCTCGCCGAGCCACCTGTGGTGAGATGGTCGTTCCGGCTGGAGACTCCACGCGCTGGCTTCGCCGCCGTGGAGGCTCTCCAGCCGGTCATCGCCGAGTGGGCAGGGCGGCAGCACGGGACCCTTTCCTTCCGGCTGACGCAGGTGCTTTCCGGGCACGGTTGCTTCGGAAAGTACCTGTACTCGGTCGCTAGGAGGGAATCGAGTCCCGCCTGCCACCACTGCGACTGCAGGTGAGGATTCGGCCCAGCACACGCTGGCGGTTTGCCCCGCATGGGCGACGCAGCGCCGGGCCCTCACTGCAGTCATCGGAGCAGATCTCTCGCTACCGGCCGTAATTCGCTCCATGGCCGGTAGCGACAGTTGTTTTACCGCGGTCGCAACCTTCTGCGAGGAGGTAATCTCGCAGAAGGAGGCGGCGGAGAAGGCCCGGGAGGACGACCTCCACTCGGACCTGATCCGCCGCCGGCGAACCGGGCGGCGGAGGCGCGCTCACCTGCGCCTCATGCCGCCCTGAGTGTGGCCGCGGGTGGACGGGATGGGTTCTCCCCTCCACCCGCATTAGTTGGCCAGCCGCGAGGGGGCGGCGTCCGCGTGTGCCGGACGCCGCCTAAAGAGAGGGTCCACTGAGACGGAGCCCGCGTCAGGAGCGGGCCGGCGCTGGGAGGGGTCCAGAAGGAGATAGCTACCTGGACCCCTCCTAAACTGGAAGCGCAAAGAGGGCACACCGTGTGGTTTTAGTCGGTTCGAGTCCGACACACCGCCCCGCCGAACGAGAGCCCCGGCGGGGTGACGGTCCGAGGGGATTTCCACACGTAAAAAAAAAAAAAAAAAAAAAAAAAAAGGTTAGGTTAGGTTAGGTTAGGTTAGGTTAGGTTAGGTTAGGTTAGGTTTTTTTTTTTTTTTTTTTTTTTTTTTTTTTTTTTTTTTTTTTTTTTTTTTTTTTTTTTTTTTTTTTTTTTTACGCTTTTCCCCGACCGTGGAAACGTCAGGCCCTTATACGATGCTGATTATCTTATTATAGCTGCTATGCATTCACCCTATCCCTTGTTGGGATACCCGCTGCTCTATATCTTACTTACTAGCATTACATATTCTGCTTACATTTACTTATAACTTTATTTAATCTTCATAGTTATATAGTCTTACAACTATATATATATATCTTCTATTTATACTATACTTGTATATATATCTTCAACATTCTTTTTTTTTTTTTTTTTTTTTTTTTTTTACGCTTTTCCCCGACCGTGGAAACGTCAGGCCCTTATGTATCGATGTGATTATTTATATTGCTGCTATGCATTCACCCTATCCCTTGTTGGGATACCCGCTGCTCTATATCTTACTTACTAGCATTACATATTCTGCTTACATTTACTTATAACTTTATTTAATCTTCATAGTTATATAGTCTTACAACTATATATATATCTTCTATTTATACTATACTTGTATATATATCTTCAACATTCTTTCTTTTTTTTTTTTTTTTTTTTTTTTTTTTTTTTTTTTTTTTTTTTTTTTTTTTTTTTTTTTTTTTTTTTTTTTTTTTTTTTTTTATTTTTTTTTTTTTTTCCTCTCTCTTTTATCTGGTTTAACATCTTTATTATTGCTTATGTATCTATTGTATATATCTATTATCTTTTTACATATCTATTGTATAACAGTAAGTACTTTTTTATTATATCTAACACTCTTTTTTTTGCAACTTATTAGTCTAACCTATTTCTATATCTCTTGTTCACACCGCAGGATTTGTAAATAATTTATTGTGTTGTCTGGATCTATATAATTTGTCTTTATTCCTTTTGAAAACATTTCTATTTTGGCAATAACATATATATACTATATTTATACATATTTATTACCAATTCTTTTAGCTAGTTTTTTATTTCATACTTTACTGTTTTTGTCATGTGTAACTGTTTGTGATTCATGTAAGTGTTATTGTGCTGATATATTTATGTATACTCAATATACGTTATGTATATCAGGTGATCGTATTGTCGTGTGTTACATGTTTGTTTGTGTCGTGTTTATGTTTCTGTATTCGTGTGCTGATACTGTCCTGTATATTTAATATACATTCTAAGTATTCGTTTGTGTTCCTGTTGTTTTGTGTCTCGTGTTTGTGCGTGTCGTATTTGTGTTTCTGTGAGTAATTATGAGTGTATGAAAGTGTTGTGTGATCTCCTGCGTGTGGGTCAGGCGTAGCTAGTGTTGGTGCGGGCCAGGTAATCCCATTTTCTTCGCACTGGGCAGTCGACGCTAAAAGCGTTGTGGTCTGTCTTTCGCAACCCAGAGTGCGAACAATTGCAGCACTGCGGTTCATTACCCGCGGTGAAGTCTGCGCATTTTTCGCGCAGGTGCGGTCCTCCGCAGTGACTACATCTGTCCACACTCTCGGTGCAAAATTTACGGCCGTGACCAAACGCGAGGCACTTAGTGCATTGGATCAACGGAGACTGGTCCTCAACTGTGACCCTTTGCAGGTCCAGGTAGAGGGCCCCAGCCTCCGTCATTCTCCGCCACACGCTTGGCCGCACTTGGAGTATTATGTGCGCTGCCTTGGGGTTTCTCGTGCGCTTTTTAAACTTAATTACTGTTTCTTTTTCCTCTTCGGGTAGGCCCATAAAAATGTCTCCGTTTTGTGAGTGGAGAGCCTCGAGTATGTCTTCATTCTCCTCATCCATGAAGACATCCCTCAAGATGACGAGAGGGTTCTTATTTTCCATGGGCACTACTTTCAGATGGTCCCCGCGGCTCTCTATTGCTTTCTTTACTCTGGTCATTTCCTCCCTTGTATCGCAACCAAGGATGACCGTTTGATTTTTTGCTTTGCGCACTTTATTAATTTTGAGGCCGGTGCCTCTAGCGTCGACCGCCTTCCTCACCCTGGCGAGCACCTCGTCTGCAGTCTCTTGACTACCCTCGAGAGTGATCGCCAGGGAGTGGAGTGCGGGGCGATAGGCAGGTTTTGATGCTGCGGCGCTGGCGTAGGTCTTGAGGACTGGTACTGGAGCTTCATCAGCACTCGTCAGTCCTTTTACGACCGCGACAATCTCGTCCTTCGCCGCAACGACCTCCCCGGCAACACCGCCGACGAGATTCTTGAGGAGGGCATGGGTTCGATCCTCAACGATATTGGCCGTTTGGTCTCCCCCCTCCCTTGCGTCCTCGATCCTGTCAGCGATCCTGCCGAGCAGGTCGGTGCACCGGTCGTTGGCACTGACGTCAAGTCCCTGCAGATCGGTTTGAATGGTTCGCTCCATTTCACCGATCCGCTCGGTCAGCGCCGCCTCCATCTCTCCCAGTTTTCTGAGGACGTCCTCATGCCCATTGGACGGTGAGGTCCTTGAGGGCGCCCTCGCTGCCTTTTCTTTTTCCTCGGCTTCGGCTTTTCTTTCTTCATCTAATGCCTTAACGCGACTGCTTATTTCGAAGACCATTTTCAATCCCTTATCGGATTGCTCCTCCAGGAACTGTTTTATGTCCCTCCGCATCTGTGGATACTGAGAGACCCTCGAGGGTATATCCTCGAAGATCTTCATCAGTCCCTGGAGGAGCTGGTCGCCCGAGATCTCAGCATATGTTTGTTGCTGTTTTTTATAGGTCTCCATATTCTCGAGCGACCTCCGTTTGGTGTTTGGTCTTCTGATGAATGTTTTGGCAGCGTCCCGCACTGCTGCGGTTGTGGTGGTGGGACTGGGAGTGACGGGCGTAGTGGGCCTCCTGGCCGTGCTTGAGTTCGCGGGTGTGCGGTGTACGCTCATTTTAGGTGTTTGTGTAGGTCGGGGAAAATTGTCTGGGTGTATAATATGTATTTAGACCCTGTAAAGGGGGGTCTGTGTCGGTATGAAATAAAAAATTATTCTAGTTTGCAAAATAATAAATATTTTGGTCAGTTAAAAGAAAACACAATATAGTTAGTCAACAGTACAGAAGTAATGAAATAAGATCCTTATCCTAACTTATTCTAACTTACAGCTATTAAAAAGGGATCGAAAGCGATCCTTTTCGTCTTAAATAATATATACCTGCTCAGCAGGGTTGTCTAATCTAGAGTAAAAAAAAAATATAGAAAAGAAATAAAAATAAAATAAAGAAATGACAGTTTTGTCAGGGCCAATCCACTGGGCGTCCCGAGCCGGTTCAGATGAACCCAAACTCGGGGGGTCCAGGTGCCCTGGGGGCAAAGTTACAGGAAGGGAAGGTAATGTGGGGAGGGAGGGGAAAACTGTCGGGGTAGATCGATTGGGTTCCCCGAGACGATTAAAATGAGCCCAAACTCGGGTGGCCCAGGAACCCCAGTGACGGAGTAAGGGGGAGGGGGGGTGAGGTAAAAAAAGTGGAGGGGAGAGGGGGGAGGTTTTCGTGGGGTGGCGTTTGGGATGGTCGGCGTAAACTGCCACGGCCAATGTGTTTGTGACCCCCTGGCGGTTCAAATGAGCCTAAACACGGGGGGTCTGAGTGCCCCAGGGACGGGGTAGGGGTGAGGGGGGTGAGGTAAGGTGAGGGAGGGAAGCTACTGGGCCTCCCGGGCTGGTTCAAACAAACCCAAACTCGGGGGGTCCAGGTGCTCTGGGGACAAATTGGAAAGGAGGGCGGGTAAGGTAAGGGGTGAGGGGGGGAAGCTACTGGGCCTCCCGGGCTGGTCCAAAAAAGCCCAAACTCGGGGGGTCCAGGTGCTCTGGGGACAGAGTTGAGAGTTGGGGGGTGAGGTAAGGGGAAGGGGGCGGGTAAAATAGGTTGACTTGATAGAACGTCTGGGCTTTCCCTGCCGGTTCAAATGAACCCAAACACGGGGGGTCCAGGCACTCTGGGGACAAGGTTGGTATTACGGGGATGAGGTAAGGAGGGGGAAGGTGCAGACCAGGTCAGTCAGCTGGGCTCCCCGAGCTGATTCTAACGAGCCCAAACTCGGGGGGTCCAGGTGCCTTAGGGGACAGAGTTAAGAATAGGGGGGTGAGGTAAGGGGAGGGGGGCGGGTAAGATAGGCTGACGGGGTAGAACGTCTGGGCCTTCCCTGCCGGTTCAAATGAACCCAAACACGGGGGGTCCAGGTGCTCTGGGGAGAGGTTGGTATTAGAGGGGGTGAGGTAAGGGGAGGGGTGGGGGGAAGGATACAAACCTGGCCAGTCAGCTGGGCTCCTCGAGCTAATTCAGACGAGCCCAAACTCGGGGGGTCCAGGCGCCCTGGAGACAAGGTTAGTGAAGGGAGGGTGAGGTAGAGGGCGGGGTAGGGAGTGGCGAGGATTTGCCCGGTCCTTAAATATACTTATTTTAGCTTAGCCTACTTAAAATTTAAAGGTATGCGGAGATAAAAAAGTGTGCTTCTCTTTTGTCTCACCGTCCGGGAATCGAACCCCTTACGGACGAAGCCTACAAATAAAATATTTTATTTATATTCAAAGTGGAGTGAAGCTACTTCGTCTTGTATTTTGCACGATTTGCTAGTGAGGTGGAGAAGCAGTACCCCAAGAACAAAAGCTATCTCCGGAACGGCTCCAACTGGAGTCGCCCCAGTGGTGGCAACGGGTAGGTTCCGTTGCAGGCCAGCCTCTCGACACCTCACCTGATGTGCAGGGGTCACCAGCGCCGAGGGAAAATTTCCCAAAAAACCTTATATTTTTACGTAATTTGAAACCAGAACCGACCCCTCCCAAAAATTGGTGTAGGGCCGAAATTCTGGTCCCAAACGGCGGATGTCGCCTAAAAAGTAATTCCCAGGTCGCTAGCGCTGACCTAGGTCCACTGGCCAGGGTGCTATGGGCCCCCAAAGTTTTTTAATTTTTTAAAATTTCCGGGAACCCAGAAAGTTTTGCACGAAGATTTTGATAGGCTTATATCTTCGTTATTTGGTATTCGATTTTATCGGGAGGAGTGTCTATGTTCGTGCAACTTAATAGCCTATGAAGCACACACACTATGTTTACGCACAGGGGTAGTTTTCACCCCTAAAAAGTCGTTTTAGTAGGAACGTTCAAAGTTTTTTCACTGTATAAAAGTTTTACCAGTTTTCGGTCTATAATTTTTGAACCACTTTACTCACGGTTTTCGTCCTTGAAAATCCTTGTCGTGCTTTCCGTCCCGCACAGAACTGCATAACACAAGTGTTTCCCCGGGACCGGGATCAGGGACCTCGTGCCCGCGGGGTTCTCACGGGCTCCCGGAAAAAGTGTAATAACTTTGCCGGGAGTTACCGGAAAAATCTGAGAGGGGGCTCAAAAGATGGGCCTCCCCGAGCCGCACCCTCCCACAGGATAAAAACGGGGGGTCCCCTATAAAAATCCCGAGTTACACTTATTTATAAAAGTCACTATCTTAAAAGTTGTTTTTAGTCTATAAAATCCACAATTTAAATCCGATTTTCACAAATATCACATCACCGTGTTCGTCACACTTGTCTCTATCGTTTTATGAGCGTCAATATCACTATAATTATAATTTTGGGCGATCCCGCGCCGCTTGGTTTTCAAAAAAAACCGTTGCGATTTCGCGAGTTTCCACCCTAAAATTATGAGAGGGGGCTCAAAGGGAAGGTCTCCCCGAGCCGCACCCTCCCACAGTTGCAGAAACACAAGTCACCACTCAAAAACTCGAGTAAATCGAGTTTTTGTCACCAACACAAACCTAAAATTCACAATTTGTTCCAGAAAATCCAGAGTTTTCAACCGATCGCGATGGGGTTTTTTGTGCCGTGTGGTTAGGTTAGGTTAGGTTAGGTTAGGTTAGGTTAGGTTAGGTTAGGTTAGGTTTTTTTTTTTTTTTTTTTTTTTTTTTTTTTTTTTTTTTTTTTTTTTTTTATTCTTATACCTCCAACTGAATTGGAGTCTGTATTTACACTATAGTTTCGTTTCCATACCAGTTCTCGCGGTTTCTTCTCGCACTTTCATGCTTCATACCAACTTTCATTCATGCATATCATTTCTTTTTATGGGTGGGACTCCCATCTATCTAGCTACTCTATTTTATTCTCTATTGTTTCGTTATTTCTATGCGGTCTAGTTCAATGACTTAACACACTATTTTTATTTCAAATACAACGTACATGTTACGCTTTTACAGCTTATTTTATCTTAATTTTAGGTTACATTTTCACTTACATTTCTAATACAATTTGTCTTATGTTATCTATTATCTATTTACTGTTTATATTTATCTATTTACATTTATAGTTTTTATTTAGTGTGTTGATAGGCCTTATTCTATAGTTTTTAGTTTTTTACATCTTATTTTCTATCTTATTATCTATCATTTTTACTTATTACTATGATACAGTTTGCCTTAGAATCACTGTTTATACAATATTTATTTAATTATACATCTTATTTTTCCTATGCTTTTATGCTGTACAGTAAATATTATCTATTATATTATGACAGCATATTTACTTTGACTTAGTTTCATTCCTTTTTACAACTTTTTTGGCTATTTTTACACAGTAATCCAACAACCTGTCTCTTTCTGTGCCTAACATTATGGTCGCTATGTTAGTAGCGATCATTTTGTTGCCTATCTGGTGCTCAACTTCATAACGTTCTCTCGAGTGTACTGGGCACTCGAAGAGAATGTGATGCACCGTTTCACTGATCTCAGGATCGCAGACGCACGCCGGGCTCTCCTTGCATCCGAAACGGCTCAGATACTCGGAGAAACCGCCGTTGCCCCGTCATGATTTGCGTTCTGATACCAGTAGGCCCTCGAACTTCCTTACCACTGCATATGCTGTTCTCACGTCAGGCAGGAACATTTTTGTGACAAGACGCAGTTGTCCCATTTTTGTACCTCTTATCCCATTCGTCAAGGGTCGCATTCCGAATGCATCCCTTGACGAATGAGACCGGGTACAGATCATAGTCTGGTCTGCGTTTGGAACCCTGCGCCGCTGCCTTAGCCAGTTCGTCGGCTCGCTCGTTTCCTTCTAACCCCGCGTGTGCTTTTATCCAGAACAAAGTCACAGCTTTGTTCTGGCGAGACGCTGTTCTTAAATTCTCCCCTGGTAGTTACTGCTAGCGGGTGAAGGGAGCAAGGATTTTGTATAGTTTGTATGGCGGCCATGGAGTCGCTATATATCCCAAACGCAGTACCATCGCGCGTTGTTATTTCCCGCGTCGCCCTGCACAACGCCAGAAGCTCGGCCTGTATACGGTGCAGTAGCTTGATAGAGCAAGCTTCACTGTTCCAATCTCGTTCCGTTTTTCCACACTGTCCAGAGCGGCTCCGACCTTTCCTGCAATTTTACTCCGTCTGTGAAAATTTTTGTGTCGCCAGTATCACTACGGCAGGAATTGTTCTCTGTCCGCAATTAGCTTTAAGTCGGGGTATATATGCTCTGCCGGGTGCGGAGCGTCTACAGCACGAGCCATACGCTCACTTCCCGATCCTCTGGCGCTCCCCAGTGATACCCCTCTTGCCCTTGTATAGGAGGGCGACCTCACGAATTCGGAGGTCAAGGGGGAGGATCCCCGCCAGTATAGTGCTGAGTTAAGGGAGACTGTGCGGTAGGCCTTGCATAATTTTTGAGCTATCCCCTCGTTGGACTGCATCCAGTTGCTTCCTCACTCCTAATTTGTTTGCAGCAGGTGCCCAAGCGCTGGCTCCATACAATATGATTGGCTCGATGGTTGCCACATATATTGTTTAGGATAACATCTGGATTGCAGTCCCCAACTTACTTTTGCTGCTCTGGCTAATTGCTTATATACCCCGACTGCCTTCCTGCAGATGTTTGTGACATGGCTGTTGAAGGTTAGAGCCTGGTCGACGGTGA